CATCATCTGGTCAATGCCGAACTGGCAGTCCGGTGGTGGGCACATTTTGACATTTTCCACCACTACACCTCGGTGCCCATTCACACTGCCGTTCCAGCAACGGACCTATTTGCCACTGAACAGTTCTACATCCAGGAACTGCAACCGTCTCTCAATTTTGGCTTCATCGAGAGACATTTCCGGCCACGCACGGGCTTCACACGCCAATTGGACTTCTCCCAATCCCGGCACATGGGCTTCGCCACCATCTGGCGAAAACGCCGCCGACTACGACTACCCATCGCCCTACAACAGGCCTTCCTGGCCAAGCGCATGAACAACCGCCTGGATTTGTGGCGATTTTTGGGCGATCTTGGCAGCAACACTCTACGACGATTTGATGCCATCCGTTACATACGGAGCAGAGACTTCCCACCCGCCGCTCTCTATGTCCTTCATCGCATAGCCACACACCTGCCTGAACCACACCACCAGACATGCCTTTCCGCCATTCGATCCAGTTTCCGATTCCGGGGCCTCATTCCACCTGGCCCCTCCAGACCGATGCTTGCACCCTTCCTCGCCCATCCTTCTTTCCGATCCCTGCTTTTAACCCAACTTCGCGGGTTTATTCGATCTACCACTCGCAGCGCTTTACCGTTTCACATGGCACAACCACGCGTTGTCTTCAAGGCACATCGGAGACTCTCCAGTGCCTTGTTCTCACATCTCCAGGCAGCAAAAACCTGGAGTCTCGGTGAAACGACCTGCACATGCACCGACCTCGCCCAACGACACCCATCCCTCCCGAAGCATGACGGACACCTTCTTTTCTCCGGTGCAGACACCCATGAGCTGTTCGACTCCGACACTGCCCACATGCTATCCGGATCGATGCGCAACTCCTTCTTTCCTCCACGAGGGGTCTTGATGAGTCGCCTGACCCAGGCATTTCAACACTGGGCCAGGACCAACAACCTACCCGCGCTCGACCCATCAACCCTCACTACTATTGTCGAATTCCATTTCGACCTCCACCTTTCACACACATCACAGTACTTTCTTCACGCCCACGTCCAACGGGCTCTGCATACCCTGGAACCCCTTGTCCGCCATTGCGAAGACCATGCGGACTCCCGACTCATGATCTATTGTCCCGTTCTCTACGGCAAGATGTTGGAAGCCACTTTTGCGGACCCTGCCATCTTCGCCCCTCCGCCGGTCCCTGCCATTGAGATCCACCAACGACTACGAGAAACCATTGTCACCAGATTCCGCGGCCGCTATCCTTGGGCCGTGACCGGATTCGGAAGGCCAGCCAACGCCTACATCCTCCCGAAGAGGAAGAAGAACTGGACCACTGCCCGACCCATCATCAGTTTCATTGGCGCCTTCTTCCGACCCATGCTCGACGCTCTCGCCAAGCTCCTCCACAGCATGGTGGCCACGGCTTGCCCTGACGCGTTTTCAGGTGGCGACCTCTTTGAACTCATGCGGTCCTTGCACGAGTTTCTAAGCCTCGGCCACACCCATTTGGACTACCGAAACCAGGACCTTTCCGGTTTTTTCACCTCCATCGACAAAGACCGCTTCTTAGCAGCCTGGCGACTACTGCTAACCTGGTACCGACAACGACAACCACACTCCTCTACCACACACCTCACAGTGGACACACTTGACACCTCTGCCATCACCCGCGTCTACAACGGACGCCGTCGCCGACACAAACCCACACAACGCACCCTGTGGCTCGACGACATCCCCGAGATCATTCAGGCCACCCTTGACATGCAGATCTTCTCTGTCGGCCTTCGTTCATTCAGGCAAACACGTGGGGCACCGATGGGATCCCCCGCGTCCCCAGCTCTCTGTTTGATGGTGATCGCGGTCGCCGAACAATGTTGGACCAACACTCACACCACATCGGGACTTCGCTCCGTTGAAGATACTCTCCTGCTCCGCTACGTGGACAACAGACTCGTGATCGCAACCCCCAGGTGGCTCTCGACTCCGGCAGCCAACATACTGTGCGACGAACACTTCTATGGAGGAGACATCTTCCTGGAAACAGAAGCCGCCCTGGACTTCTTGGGGTTCCGACTGAACCTCACAAGCAGCACCATCTCCTTCATCCCCTCGCATGAGAAGCACAACATGCTCTCCGTCAAGTCAGCCGCACCAATGATACATAAGGAATCTGGATATTATTCCAGACGCACGCTGATCAGCCGAGTTTCCTTTCCTGAATTTCAGCGAGATCAGGATCTTGCAATGTTGAAGAGGTTGTACCTCCAACACGGTTTCACCTTACAAAGAGAAGAAAAACCGTCCTTTGCGAAACCACACTGGTTTTCTTCTCTGCCTTTGCATCCTGACAGTTTTGACCTGATTTTCGTGCCGCAGCTGTTTGACTGTTTGACCAAAATCCGTTGCGAGCATGGATACCAACACCGCACGCCAGCTGCTCCAAGACTTCGAACTCATCCTTGGCATTGCCCAACAAGGCATCGCCACCATCCGC